ATACTGAAGATGATCTCGTCCGGAGCTCGGTGCGACTGCATTGGCGTAACTCTGTGGGGACCGAAGGGGTCTGGCCCCCTCAAATATAAAACTCCCCCTAGATTTATTAAACGGAATTATTCTGATAATACAGTATTATTCAGAAATATTCTGTTTTTAATTAGACGTAGGTATGGTATCTTTTCAATTTTGATTTTTAAAATTTTGGGAATTTAAAATTTAGCTTGAAAGCGTAGGGATTTTTGAGTTTTAGGACTTTGGAATGTAGGGGGTTTGGAAGTTCAGGTTTGGGACTGTTGGAAGTGTTGTAACTTTGGAATATAGGCATTTTGCAATTTTTTGATTATCGAAGTTTCAATCTTTGAAATTTTGGGACTTTGAGAGGTTGTAACTTTGCGATATAGGCATTTTGCAATTTTTTGATTATCGAAGTTTCAATCTTTGAAATTTTGGGACTTTGAGAGGTTGTAACTTTGCGATATAGGCATTTTGCAATTTTTTAATTATCGAAGTTCAAATTTTTGGAATTTTGGGATTTTGAAGCTTTAGAACTTGGGAGTGTAAAGATTTTTTAAAGTTAGAACTTTAGTACACAGGAATTTCTAAATATTAGAACTTTGGTACATAGGTATTTTTAAATGTTTGAACTTTGGTACATACGTATTTCTAAATATTAGAACTTTGGTACATAGGTATTTCTAAATGTTAGGACTTTGGTATATAGGCATTTTGTAACTTCAAGTACTTTGGGACATTGAAATTTTGCAACTATGAATAAACAAATTTTTTAATTTTACAACTTTAGAATCTCTAGTTTTTGAGCCTTATATTACTTTAGTTTCCAAAACTCTGATACTTTGAAACCTTTCAATTCTTGAAGTTGTACATTTCCAAATATTGGCATTTCCCCATCTTAAATTATCGATGTAGTCCTTTTTTGGAAAGTCCCCTTGAAACAGACTAATGATCCTAAATCGTCTGATTTTACTATTCAATTGCTGCTTCCCCTTCATGAAAGCGTCCATTGAATTTCTTCTTCGTTAGACCGATTCTTTCGTTCAATATGGTGAGGTTGTCACCAGATATCGTGCACGTTCTTATCATTCAATTTAGGCTAAAAAAATGGTTATCACGTTTCGATAACGCTGGAAAGGTTGATTCTGCAGGAAAGCTCAAAATAGAACTTGCATTTTTTTAACAAATTACAGCTCTATACATTGTTGCAATGTATAAAATCAATTACATGAAAAACAAAAAAGAAATCAAACCTTTTTACAATAGTATTCATTGGAACATGTGACCCTTTGAATAATCCTATACAATAATATCATATAAAATTCTAAATAAATTATGTTGTAATTAAGGAACGCTATAAAGGAATGCTACTTTTATGAAGATGTGTTATTTGAATTCGAACAAGAATTTTAGTTACGCCAATGTGTGCGAGTATCTTATGCGCGAGGAAATGATCATTGAAACCTTGCTTTTTAATAGAGAATGATATTAAGACGAACTTTTTTGAATTCTATTATAAGAACAAAAGGAGTTCAATAATCTGTCCATTCATCAAATTATTTCTCAGGAAAGAATTTTCTTTATACTTTCTTAATTTTCTTTGGAACTTTTACCTATTGTAGTAAAATGAGTCAGTCATTAATATCGAAACGAAAATATATTCAAGCCATTATTTTTAAGTTCTGGTGAATGTCCTCTGTAACCTTTCATTCATTCAACATTGATAAGCTTTCAGTTTCGAACGAATTATTAAAATTTGATCCCAAGTAACTTATCACTTACAGTACAATTATTTGCACTTAACATTTCTCACATAAAATTATTTAGCATAACATGTATTTGTGTTTAACTTAAAATACTTCTCTACAACTTAGGTTACCCCGATATAATTAAATAATAAGAATAACAGTCTACATTTTATGTTTTAACAGAATACATTTGTTTGATACAAACAATAATTATAAGAGAATATATTTGTTTTGTTTTTATTTCATTTTACCCCAAGTATTATTCCAGAAAAGTTTTTCTAGAGGTCATCGAATAAAAACTTCCACGACCCCGTGGTTAAAGTTTGAGATATTGGTATCGCCACAATTAACTATCAATCAAAGAAATTCTATTTAAAAAACTGCTTATCCGTGACACAATTATGAGCGATAAAATTCTTACCATGTATACTCTAGACGATTTTTGCATTTCGACAATGAGCAAAGACGATGAGTAACAAAATCCACAAATTCTCGACCAGTGTTCCGCTTTACCTCTCAGTCGAGATTTTACCTCGACCCAATTTTCTGTAGGTCGCAAAATGCGGTCGTGAATCGATGTTTGCCCTCGCCTTTACCAATCTGCATTTACAGCTATCTGCAGATTTTTGTGACTGCACGAGGACGAGATACCTGCTCGAATGTAAAACGAAGCTACTGAAAAATAAGGGGAATTTAACTCCTTCCCGTGCCATTTATTTAACAGATGCGTCAGTCAAGACTAACTATTCAGGGCTATAATATTAAAACGGACAAAGGAAATTAAAATGTTGTAACTATTTTATATTCAGGGATCCTTGATAATGTAACTTATAGCTGGACCTAAATTTCAAGTTGAAGAGTATTCAAAATTTGAGTAAGGTTTGTCACATTTGAGCTGTAAGTGCGTCACAAGTAAGACTCCTCAAAGTACGGGAAGGGGTTAACAAGTATCTTGTTGGTACGCTATTGAATAAAAGGGTAGAATGGCTCATAGATTTGAGAAAGAAAAAAATTATGCTTTTCGTGAAGTTTCGATTACTTTGAGCATTTTGCGATTACTTTTGTTTATGTCAAAAGTTAATGGCGAAACTTGAAATCATAATGTGATCAAGTTTTTAGAAAATCACTGAGTCGGAAATTTGGAAAATAAGCAAAGCGAAAACTTAGATAAATGAAAAATTAGAAAGTTAAAAATTGGGAAAGTAGGAAATTAGAAGATTGGAAATTTGGAAGTTCAAAAACTGGCAATTTAGGAATTTTCTGAATTTAAAAAATTGGAATAAAATTTGTGAAATTAGAATATTAGAGAATTGGAAACTTGACAAATTAAAAGTTTGAGAACATCAAAAGAATTGTAAAATTAGAAAAATGAAAGGGCGGAAGTTGAAAAACTGACTTTTAGAAAATTTAGAAATTGCAAAATTGGAAAATTGGAAGTTTAAAAACTGGCAATTTAGAAATCTTCCAAATTTAAAAAATTGATATAAAATTTGCAAAATTAAAATAGAAAATTGGAAACTTGGAAAATTAGAAAGTTTGGAACATAAAAAAATGGTAAAATTAGATAATTGAAAATTTGGAAATTGCTAAATTGGAAAATTAAAAAATTGGAAACTTGGGAACTTGGAAGTTCAAAAACTGGCTATTTGAAAATTTGGAAATTGCAAAATTAGAAAATTGGCAACTTGCGAAATTGAAAATTTGGAAATTCAAAAACTGGCTATTTGAAGATTTGGAAATTGCAAAATTAGAAAATTGGGAACTTGGAAAATTGAAAACCAGTAATTTGAAGATTCGAAAAATTGCAAAATTGCAAAATTCGAAAGCTTCAAAACTAATAACTCAGAAATTTTTAACTCAACAAATTTCGTAAATTTCGAAATTTAAAACATGAATTCCCAATGACATTGGTAATGAATATCCAATTGACAATAAATCGATAATTATAGCAGACGTGTTGGAAGATACGGTCATCGTATAAAAAGAGAAAAGAATCATTGAATGTTATAATGATCACGTAATCGCCGGCGTGAACTACTAATTTCGGTGTAATTATCATTTAAGAAGTCTTATCGGTTACTAACCGCAAAATGTATCACCAAATATAAATTCATGTGTCAAATTTTTCTTCATGAACTATAAATTTTATCAATGCACGAAAAACAAAAAACGCATTACTTTTAAAATTTACGGCTCAATGCAACAAAAGATTTACGAAACGATGTAATACACATATAACCTAAAACGTGTAGTGCAATTTAAAGCGATATAAAACTGAGACTTTGTAAGTACCTGGTGCTTAATCAATTGCCTCGTGTCCGTAGCTAATGCTAATACTACTCGTGATTATTAACCGGTTATATCGATGGTAATTAAAATTTTTTCTGTTCTGACATTTCTTCAAGGTTCTGCTCATGAACTTGTATGACCTCCAAGGAGGACTTGGAATTTTATTTATTCTTAGTGATGCAAATTCAGGAAACAATGCATTATTGTACTCTTTGATTGATTTTTTCAATCAAACTTTATCGACACATATTTTGTCAGTTCTATCGAATATTTCAGTTTTATCAAATATTTCTCAAGTTAGCATTTAACTTGTAAATTTAGAGATCAAGTTAGCATTTAACTTGAAAATTTGAAAATCAAGTTAACATTTAACTTGAGAAATATTTTAGTAAGAGCAAGAATTAAGGAAGGTACTACCAGTACATTTTTCTCCATTTTCAAGTTAATCATGCGGTAATTGAACCTCGTTCGAGTGTATTTTATCCGGCAAATGTATCATGATACGCTGTTCGTTCTTTTTACGTAATCCACCAGTTACGCACGATTGTTCGCTAGAACCTAACATCTGTACTTCGTTATCTGTCTATAATGAGAACTTAAACGATTCCACTGAAATAAATTGGAGAAAATATATCGGCGTTAAAAATATTTGTTTTGTTAACAGGTTATATAAAGAGAAAGAGGGGCAGAAGATAACTAGAATGACAAGTTGTATATAATTGAACTGTTAAACGAAAATAAATATCATTATGCACTTACATAAATAGTATGCATTTGAATCATGTTCGGAGAGATTCAAATATTTGATAGGATACATTTTGTGTCATATAACTTATTATGTAACAACGAAACGTCATCCATAATTTAATTTTATCGTAATGAAAAATTAATAATAGCGTGTAATTATATTAGCATTCAATTAATTGAATCTTTTCTTTCTTTTTGCAGAAACTAACAACAACAGTATATCTGAGACAGCTCAGCGATGCATCCACCGATCTGAAAAAAGTGCTAGCTGAAAAGATTCCGAAGGAACAAGAACGTATCAAGGCTTTCCGTAAACAACATGGGAACACCAAAGTTGGAGACGTTACCGTCGACATGGTACGTCATTTTTTGCAATGCAATTTCAAAGACATACATTTGGGTACAATGTTTCCATTATATATCAAAGTTTCATATGTTCAAATTCCAAATTTTTAACTTCTTAGTTTGTAAATTTCGAATTCTTCAATTTCTTACTTTTTCAAATTTCAAATTTTTTAATTCCCAAACTTTCAAATCTCTAATTTTTTAAATTTCCAGTCCCAAATTTTTTCATCTCCAAATCTCTGGATCTGCAAATTTCTATACCCTAAATTTCTAGATCCCCAAATTCGTTGACCTTGACCCTCCTTGACCTTCAAATCCCTAGGTTGCCATGTTAAATTCTAAAATTCCAAAATCCCAAAATTTCAAGTCCCTAAATCTCAAATCCCTAAATCCAAAATTCTAAAATCCTCCAATTCCAAGTTTCTTAAATTCCAAACTCCTCAAATCAAAAAGTTCCTAAATCCCAAAGTATTCAAATTCTAAAATCTTCTAATTTCAAGCCTCCAAATACCAAAGATCATAAATCCCAAAATCTCCAAATTCGAATTTCCAAATCTCAAAGCGCCCAAATCCTAAAAGTCCTAAAATTTCAAGTCCCCAAATCCTAACGTTCTCAAATTTCAAATCTCCAAATCCTAACGACCCTAAATTCCAAAACTCCCGAATTCTAAAATCCCCAAATACCAAAGTTTCCAAATCCCAAAACTCCCAAATCACAGCATTCCCAAATTTGGAGTTCCTTAAATCCCTAAATTCTCCAAATCACAAAGTCTCCAAATCCCAGAATTGCCAAATCTCAAAGTACCCAAATCCTAAAATTCCCAAAATTCCAAACTTCCCAAATCCTGAGGTTCTCAAATCTCAAATCCCCAAATCCCAAAACTCTCAAATCCAAAAATCTCCAAATTCCAAATTTCCCAAGTCAAAAAGTTCCTAAATCCCAAAGTACCCGAATTCTAAAATCCCCTAATTCCAAGCCCCCCAAATCGCAAAGTTCCCAAATCCCAAAACTCCCAAATTCGAAGCTCCTCAAATCCCAAATTCCCCAAATCACAAAGTCCTGAAATATCAGAATTCCCAATTCTCAAAGTCCCCATATCCTAAAATTCCCAAAATTCCAAGCTCCCCAAATCCCAAAGTGCCGAAATCCAAAGATTCCACTCGTCTATCATTTTCGCCAGAAAAGACAGATTTGTTCTTGACTGTAAAATCACGTATTAAAGATCTAATGACAGGGCAATTATCAAGAGTAAGATGTTGCAAAAGCAATACGTCACTCGGAAAAAAAAGATTGCGTATTCACAGAGCATGCCACGTGGATGGAGAGTTCCACATTGAGGATATACCACAATGAGCAATTTTAGTTTTTTTTCATCTCTTCTTTTATGTAATAATGATAAGACCATGCGATATGTGATTAAGACCGTGAAATGAACATATATCGCGTGCCTATCATGTGATCACGGTACAAGTGTACTTTTAGACTTATAGGCAATCTTCTGTTCTCTGCTAGTTACAGATCCGCAGGTTTTATATCTATGCCGCATGAACTTTATACTCCGAATGTCGTAGTTTTCTGAGAATGATAAGGACTCTTTGTGTCCATCAAGAGAAATAAAAAATGTAGGAAACTTACGTAATGAATTAATAAATGTGTATTGTTTGCTATACTTCCTGCTTTATTCAAAATTTTAAAAATGCCAATTCACTTTTGTAACACTAATTTAAATCAAAATGTAAATCACTCGAGTGCGATGTAGATTTGTTTTAGTTAATTGGGAAAGTAGTTCATATATTCCTTGAAAGAAATTATAAATTTCACAAATTTCCATATTCAAAAATTCTTTGATTCTCCAAACCCTCATTTCTGAAATCCCAAACAGCACTTGATCAGTAAAATACCAGCACCACTAAAATTAGAACACTTAAAATTAATCTTTCAAATATCTGTCGCATCACAGAAGAATGAAACTTCTAATTATTTTGCAGATGTACGGCGGTATGCGTGGAATCAAAGGTCTCGTATGGGAACCATCAGTTTTGGATCCTGAGGAGGGTATCAGGTTCCGAGGAAAGTCCATTCCCGAATGTCAGAAGCTGTTACCTAAAGCAAATGGAGGCGAAGAGCCTCTTCCGGAAGGTCTGTTCTGGCTGCTGATCACGGGTGACGTCCCCACGGACGCACAGGTGAAAGCGATCTCCCAAGAATGGGCCGCAAGGAGCGCGTTGCCCGATCACGTCGTCAAAGCTATCAACAACTTTCCCAAAACTCTCCACCCCATGACTCAATTCTCTGCTGCCATTACTTTGCTTAACAGCGAAAGTGAATTCGTGAAGGCCTATACCAAAGGTGTTCACAAGAGCAAGTACTGGGAGACGGTCTATGAGGATTCGATGAACTTGATCGCGAAACTGCCAGTAGTTGCCGCCGCGATATACAGAAACATTTACAAGGGTGGCAAAGGTCTGGGATCCGTCGACGCTGGCAAAGATTGGTCCTGCAATTTCGCGAACATGCTCGGTTACGATAACAAGGAGTTCATTGAGCTCATGCGGTTGTATCTGACGATACACTCTGATCATGAAGGTGGAAACGTTTCTGCGCACACGACTCACTTGGTGGGCTCGGCGTTGTCTGATCCTTACCTGTCTTTCGCGGCCGGTATGAACGGTTTGGCTGGACCTCTTCATGGTCTCGCAAACCAAGAGGTATTAGTATGGCTGGAGAAACTTCGTGCTCAAATTGGAGAGAGCCCCAGCGACGATAAGCTCAAAGATTTCATTTGGAACACCCTGAAGAGTGGTCAGGTCGTTCCTGGATATGGTCACGCCGTACTGAGAAAGACTGACCCCAGATATACGTGCCAGAGAGAATTCGCGTTGAAACATTTGCCGGACGACAAATTATTCAAGGTATTATTCTTTTATAATTCTGGGTGAAATTGATGTCCTTTTGGATTATCTTGTACTTATTATATGATAATTAGTAATTGTTTAATAATTAATAATGTTTGTATTTTTAGTTGGTTGCTCAAGTGTACAAAATAGTTCCTCCCATCCTTTTGGAAACCGGCAAGGTAAAGAACCCATGGCCAAATGTAGACGCGCATTCAGGAGTTCTGTTACAATACTATGGAATGAAGGAAATGAATTATTATACCGTCCTGTTTGGAGTATCGCGTGCACTTGGTGTACTCGCAGCTCTCGTTTGGGATCGTGCTCTTGGCCTACCGATCGAAAGGCCCAAATCTCTGAGCACCGATCTTCTCATGAAAAGCGTTAAAGCTTAAACATCTTTATTTATGAAAAAAGGAAACGAACACACAAGACAGAAAATCAGAATCATTAAAACTTTTAAGTTCGTGTCACACCATTGTCATGATTTCAAAAGTAAAGAACTGACTGCTTTATTATCATGTTAAAAATGTTATTAATGCACGCTAAAGTGTAATTTTACTCGAGCTCATTTCGAATTCATTTCGCTATGACTTCAAGGAAGTCTTTTTAATTAATGAAATCTTATTGAAAAGATACGAGGCTAGGTATTAAAAAATGGTCATCTCACGTAACGACGTATTGAAAACGTAGACGTTCTAAAGCAAGAAAACGATTTCGTGGTGCTTTGTATCGTAAAAGCTCTTATCTATACTTTTTAAGTTCGCTAACAATGCGAATACTACGTAAATGAGATGAAGCTTTTATGATATAAAGCCTTGTGTAAAAAAAATATAGTTTAATTCGGTATACATAGTTCGAATTGCCAAGCTCTTAAGTGAACAATACATTGACAGTAGACGCGATTCATTGTAAATATATTTGTCGCTTTATATTTAACTTAAATAGTAACAGTTTTAGATGTAAAAGCGGTAAATATTAACGTATGAAAATTAGTAAAACATTCATTGTAAAATTTAAGTGTGCGTAGTTAACGTTTTGAAGACATTGTCTTGTAAATTTGATAGACACTGCCAAACAAAATATCAGATGATTGTAAAATTTAATTGGATTGCAATAAATATTTTTACTTTGGTCGTTACGATAAAGTGAAAACTTATTCCATTAACCAAAAAATTTACAAAAAATAATTATTTTAGTAACCCATGTAAAATAGAAAATGTATAGGGCTAATGAAATATGTAAACGACGTTGCAATATTAGCGCACCAGTTATTGGTTTTAGATTCAACAAATACGACAGAAAAATGGCTCAAATAAATCGAGTCATTACAATTCACAAGAATTAAAAAAATGACCAGTGGTAGATCCACTGTTACGAGAATGAGTGAGTGTGTGCGATACTTTATTTATAACGAACGTAAAAATAAACATATCTTCAAAAACTTAATTTATCGACTTGCTTCCTTTGTATTTCTAGTGAATAAAAAATATGTTTATTTAATTTTTATTTTAGTATCAAAGAAGAAAACATTACACGGTAAAGTATATTTATTGTAATGTAAAAGATAACTTTAATATATACATAATTTCCTATGTGCAATTCATTTAGTGTGTTCGGAAATAAAAATAAAAAACGTGGGACAGTTTGTTTTCAACAAATTTCAACATACAATTTTTTTGTCTGCTTATTACAAATCAAAGTTTAGTTCAATTGATTTCACGTTAATTTTGAACCTTTCGTACATATTCTTGTACGTAATAATTATGAATTAACTATTGAAAAGTAATCAAACTATTAACAACCAATTAAAAAACAAAAGTCTTTCTTAATACTCTAATTTAATTAAAGCCGTATATAACGCTTAAATGTGCACAAGTATATATTTGATATCGTGTACTTTTAATATAATAGAATTAAACAACCTTTAACTTCTATTTTGTATTTGACAATGATTATTTAACGGAAACCTTGTTAACGAGGGTGTATATAATGATATTACATATTTCCAGCAATGTATCATAGTTAATACAATCTTCTTTGTTTCTCAATATGAGAAAACTACTGTTTATTTTTATGAAATTTTAAATGTATGATCTCACTCTGACAGTAGACGGCATTTATCTTTCGTACAATGGTTTTAACAATTTCTATAATTATCTTCATACGTTATTAATAGTTTTAAGTTTTAATAATTATTAAATAGTATAATATTGTTTTTAGCTACACGATTGTTAATTATAATCATAAAGTAAATAAAATGAATGGAGGCAGCGACCAATCAGTTGGATATACATTAAAGATATTTTAAAAAATTCATAGTATCTGTGATAAAATAGTTAATGTGTTTAGGTCAAAGTAGGTTCTATATGTAAAAGATGTTTTTCATAATGCTTACACAAAATTTTAGTGTTCTCAACAAAGAACTTTCTCAATGTTTAATTTATATATCACAGAGCAGTTAGTATTCTGCCTTTAGATATCTAATTAAACCAGTTGATTTACTCTGCCACTAAGTCTTATAAGATATTTGCAGTATTAAGAGTATTATCAATTATTTATATTTTCACACAGAAACTTGAAAAATATGTAGTTTAATTGGTGCTAAATCGGAGTTCACTTTTTACAATTATTTACTATTAATGCGGAGTATAAAAAACTATGTACATAGGTATAGCTTTGAAAATCGCACAGGCCAAACAATTTTTATCCGCACATTGACTGAACAGAATAAATAAATAATTCATTCTTTTTGTTTTCTATATAAACATAGGTGGACGGGATTCCGATTACGTTTATATTTTTTTTAAGTATGCATGCAATATTTGAGTTAAAATTTTTTCTGAGTCAAAATAAAATTTAATAACTATTGAATTGTACCCACAGTACTTATAATCACGAATAATTAAAAATATAAGTATAGATAATACATTCAATTTGGCAGTCCTGTTAAAAAATATTTATAAAACATATTTCTAAAATATAGATAAAAGATGTTCATTATACATATTTCTCTTAAAATAACAACGTTCTCTGTAAAAGACTTTTGATATTCTAATTTTTGTATACCTTTATAACATGATTCTTTAAATATACCATAAGTAAAAAATAATTAATTAAAATATTATTTCGTTTTTAAATTAGTTGTAATCATTTGCCACCATAATTTATATTACATTAATAGATTAAGATAAAATTTACCCGTCCACCACATAATACACTCAGTATTTGAAGTAATAACTGTAATTAATATATGCAGTTATACTTTATGTTATGTGTGAAGCTAGTGTACCAGTTGAAAAATGATCATTCATTCTTGTCTCATTTGTACAATTGTTAGAGTGGCACAGTAACTCACATTAAACATATACTTTACATTTTAAATATCTTATTACATTCAAAATGAATACTCATAATGTACGTCATGTCTTTTTTAAACGTCCAACAATCCACTCAAGTCCTTGATAAAGCCTGAAACATTGCAACAAATCATTTTATACTATGAACTGGCAATGTTACATAAGTCTGTACAAATAAACTCTCACCCTTCTCCTGTAAGCGCACAACAGCTTTGTATATGCCACTGATGCTTTTTGATTGATGTCAAATCTAGTTGCCTAGAAATTTCAGCAGCTGTCATGCTGCCTTTTAAATCTTGCTTATTAGCATAAACTAACACATTAGCTTTGCTTAATTCTTCATGATTCAGCATCGAATATAATTCTTCCCTTATTACACCAAGTCTTTCTCTATCTGTACTATCTATAACCATAATTATAAACTCGGTGTTAGTATAATATGTGGACCATGCAGCTCTTAGACTTTGCTGTCCACCTAAATCCCACATTATAAAGTGAATATTCTTCCAAACTACTTCTTCAACATTAGATCCAATGGTTGGTGATGTATGAACAACTTCATTCATTAGGAACTGGTATAATATTGTTGTTTTACCAGCATTATCTAAACCTACCATAACTATTTTATGTTCTGAAAAATAAAAACATATAAATCTGTTTAGTGATTGTTTTGTACTATTTTATTATAGACAAGGACTATTAAACATATGTTAACATATGTTAGTATGAAAAGAATGATATGAACTTGAGAAAGTACTTATAATACATGTAAATTATACAATTAATAATAAAAAGTATAAGATATAATTTTGTTCTTTAAATTATGTATAAAAATACGAATTATATGCATACAATTTTATACACTACTATCATTATTATTGTATCATTATTTAAACTTTTAAATTATAAACAAACTATTTTGTTGACTTTTATTATCACATGGAAATACTAGAATACAATTATGAAATTAATGCAGAATTAATTTAATCTAATTAGACTTGTAAATTTCCCGATAAGCGATATGTTAAATTTTACAAATGTATCTGTAAAATTTGCGAACTATCTTTCTAAATATTTGATAAAGGCAAAAGTAAATAAACGTTACTCTTCATTCCTGATTTCAGTGTGTCATCGAATACAAATACATTACAATCACATTACTCATATATCGTGACGAGGAAAAATACATAGCAAACTAATTGACACAATACTGTTAGCAGACATAAGGAATTTACCTTCATTGCCAAACAAACTCCACAATTTTGCAAAGAGAAGTCCCATATTGTTCGAAATACTAAACAACTCAAATACTAATATCTGTTTAATCGTAATTTTGTACAGTCTTATTCTCAATAAAAAAGATGTATTTTGTTACAGAAATAGGGCATCTCATTGTCGTTGGGTTATGTTCACTTTTCTATCAAATACGTATCCAGTGTGTTTCAGATAAATTTGCGTCATTGCTGACACACTACGAGATAAAATATGTACTTAAGAACTGTTACGAACTGCTTAAAATTCACTAATTATACCATTAAAACGAAAGAAACATACGAAGACTTTTCCTAATCTAATCAAGCAAATCGCGACATGTTGCGTTTCCAATTAAAATATCCATACATCTGATCGGCCCAATCATTTTCCGGCGATAACCGAAAGCGCTGTCAGTCTTGTATATGCGTGTTCTGATTGGAAGTAAGATGTTTCTGGTCTAAACCCGCGTAAAGTAATAGCGTACTTTAAAAATCATCAGCTCATAGACAGGTATCCCACGAGATTAAAACTATGTACTCGATTTTGCTGAATCATTGCATACTTTTTTCCTTCTAATCAAAAGAAAAGAAAAAGATATACTACGTGTTCCAGTATTAATGATACAAACAAGAAGAAAATTCTGTGTGCAAAATAGATTCGCATATAAACAAATTTTGTAATATTCTCGGTTTATTTTTTACATTGAATTACTTCACTCTCTGGTGCACCAATACTGGAACACCCTATAAAAATTCTAACTCATATAATACGATAATATTTCGTTGTCCGAAATGTGACTTTGCACTTTGGCATTTTAGAACTTCGGGACTTTACAATTTCAGTATTATAGAATTTTGGGATTTTAAACTTTGAAATTTTTGAATTTTGGCACTTTTGGACTGTGAAATATCGAAAAGTAGGATTTTGTAATTTCGAAACTTTGGAATTTTGAAGTATTGTAATGCTCTTATACAGGAAAATTAAATAATGCTCTTATATAGGAAAATATAACCCATCGTCAATCCGGCGATGAAAAATTTTCGTAGTAGCTTACTCCCTTGATACTCTAAGCCCGAACACGTGTTTATTTTGCTTAATGATTAATTTAAATTTGATTCAAACATGAAAGCATTAAATGTAAATTTTTCTTTTGCTTGAAATATAACAATCTTCTACAAATCAATGCTTTTAATACATCATTTTAAAAAGTAGTACAAGTAATTTAATTTTGTAATCAGTATAGATGCTGAAAAAGAACAGAATCGGTACAAATGGTCACTCTAATGATAAAAGTTATGAAACTTGTATAGTAGCATTCACATAGTGTTGACTCCATGCTGACCTTGGAGAGCACTGCGATTGGCTTACGAAACGTCGGCTGATGTCGAAGACTGCTCGAGAATGAATGTTCATTCTTAATCTTTGCGGTATACACGTCCGACCACTTGTTGCTCTTTGATATTTGAAGAGGACGAATTATATTATACTTTTGCACGTATTAACTATTTATCAAAATGAGCAAACCGTAAGTAATTTCTTTCTTACTTTAAAGAAATTTAAAATTTAAAATTAAAATTTTTACAAATAATGTAAATATTATAGATTTTTTTTAGTTCATTTTATGAAACCATTTTGTGTAAATTGATTTAAATAAATATATTTATATTTTAATGAAAACGGCAAATAAAGTGATCTTATAAAATAATTCATATAAATATATTATTGTGTTAAAATCAATACAAAAAATATTATGTAATATTTAATATTTATGTAATAGCATACAATATAGTGATATGTATATTAAATATGTAATTGGTATATAATTTTCATTTAATTATGTCTTATTTTGTAGCGTTGCAGATATTGCTCTCATTGGCTTAGCCGTAATGGGGCAGAATTTAATTTTAAATATGAATGATCATGGATTTGTTGTTTGTGCTTACAATCGTACAACAGAAAAAGTTAAATCTTTCCTAGAAAATGAAGCAAAAGGCACAAAAATTATTGGTGCATATTCATTGAAAGAGATGGTAGAAAAACTAAAATCACCAAGACGTGTGATGCTCTTGGTAAAAGGTAAGATGCTATTACAAACAATAAATTTCACAACACAAAGTCATGACCTTTAATAGAATACAGTTGCTTTGACTTTTTATCATTTCAAAGTTTGTATATTATAAATCATTGATCTGTAATAAGTAAGGCTATATAAGATATATTTTATATTAATTTTTATTGGTTATACAATGGAAGAAAATGATATTAATAATTATTTATTTTAAAAGCTGGTGCTGCTGTCGATGCATTTATTGAACAATTGGTACCTCTGTTATCTCCGGGAGATATTATAATTGATGGTGGTAATTCTGAATATCAGGATACCGAAAGAAGAACCAAAGAGTTAGATAAGAAAGGAATATTATTTGTCGGTAGTGGAGTTAGTGGAGGTGAAGATGGTGCTAGATATGGACCATCTTTAATGCCAGGTGGAAATCCAAAAGCTTGGCCATATATTAAACCAATCTTTCAGGTATGAAGATTTACACATAAATATTTATTAAATAATTTATTGATACGAATTTGTTAAACATTTTAGCAATAAAATATAAATTTTTTAGTCAATAGCTGCGAAAGTCAATGGAGAGCCTTGTTGTGATTGGGTTGGAGAAACAGGTGCAGGACACTTTGTAAAAATGGTACACAATGGTATTGAATATGGTGATATGCAACTGATATGTGAAGCATATCATATCATGCGAAATGGTTTGAAACTCAATCCTGAAGAGATGAGTAAAGCTTTTGATGATTGGAATAAAGGAGAATTGGATTCATTTTTAATTGAAATTACTCGTGATATTCTTAAATACAAGGATCAAAAAGGTTATCTACTAGAGAGAATTAGAGATACGGCTGGACAAAAAGGAACTGGAAAGTGGACAGCTATTGCTGCATTGGATTATGGAGTACCTGTAACACTAATTGGAGAATCAGTTTTTGCTAGGTGTCTTTCTGCTTTACAAAGCGAAAGAATACAAGCAAGTTCTGTATTAAAAGGTCCTGATACTGTATATCAGGGTGATAAGAAACAGTTCCTAGAGCATTTGAAAAAAGCTCTTTATGCATCAAAAATTATTTCTTATGCACAAGGATTCATGTTATTAAGGGAAGCTGCTAAAGTTCATAACTGGAATTTAAATTACGGCGGTATTGCACTTATGTGGAGAGGAGGATGCATTATAAGAAGGTATGTTAGAGTGAAATAGTATTAAGGTCTGAGATTACTGAAATAATTTTTGTAACTTTTGACTGTAATTTTTTATTTTCGTATCCAGTGTTTTCCTGGGAAATATAAAAATAGCATTTGACAAAAATCCAAAACTTTCCAATCTGTTACTGGATGACTTCTTTGCAAATGCCATGAAAGAATGCCAAGCCAGTGCTAGAATAGTAGTTTCCACAGCTGTATCTCTAGGCATACCAATACCTGCGTTGTCAACTGCTTTAGCATTCTATGATGGTTATAGAACTGCTCGCCTCCCAGCAAATTTACTTCAAGCTCAACGAGATTATTTTGGGGCTCACACTTATGAATTACTTGGTGAAGAAGGTAAATTTGTACACACGAATTGGACTGGACATGGTGGAAATGTCTCTGCTTCCACATATGATGCATAAAAATAGATAAATACTGTTTTATAATGTACATATGATGTGAAATTGAGGTTACTGTTGATGTTGTTAAATGCTGTTTTATATACATACTATGTATAAATAAATGCGAACATGGGTAAATATTAATTTTGAGTAAAATACAAATTTATTTAAGAAAATACGTCAACTGCATCTCTATATTTAATTATTAAGTCCCTTCCTACTGTATTAGTTAATATTATTAGGAATTGACCTTTACATTCGAGTTCATATTTGTAATGGAAGTTCCGCAGCCATTTACATGTAAAAAAATTTAAAACAGCAGTCCATTATATAGTATTGAATACAGAAGCTGAAATCATTTTGGAAGCATAATTCTTACATGTATTTTCAAATCTACATTCTTGCGCGGATTGTTCCAAAACGATACAGATGTTGCCATCTAATAGTGTGGAGAAAAACTAGAGAAACGTAAATTTGCCAAAACCATTCTTACAGATATCTTCTTTTGCAAAAGTTGGTCAATATTGGAGCATAACGGTTATCCGAAGCTTTGCTAAATATTTTACGATTTTAGCGAGACTGATAAAATACCGGTTTAGGGCTGCGCAGGGGGTCAAGGTTTTCATGAGATAATCGCGGATCCTGGGTAACAAATTTTCGAACAAATCAAAATTGCTCCAATTTAAAAACTAATTACGTTATCATTTAAAGTACAGTATTCACTCCGTAAATGTTAAAAAGATCTCTACCGTAAATGTTAAAATTCTATCCCCACTACTGGGGGGATCTCCCTCGAAATTAGTCAAGAATGAAACACAATCAGTCGCCGAAACGACGAGGATCGAATATCGGTGAGACACACACTAATGCAAGCAAAGGAAAAGATTACAACTTTCTTATTTCTTACTATTTTTTCATGAAACTTTTACTGTTCTTTTTGTCTAGATTTCCTGATTAAAATGACACCAAACATGATATAATTACGTTAACAATTGTGTGTTTAACGAGTGATTAAAGTTTCTAACATAAAAGAGGACGGCAAATGGAAAAGAAAGAGAAGCAGAAAGTTGACGCGTTCGGCAAACATGAAAGACTCGTGCGTTTTCTGTCTTTTAAATTCAAAAATCAAAATTTTTTATTTTTGGGGTTTCATCAATGAAGCTTTGATTATCGTATTCGTCTCGTTTTTCGAATTAAAATGGTACTAAACACGGTATAATTAAAATCATAATTACTTGTATAGCAAGCCTTTAGAAGGAATTCGCACCTCTACCGTAAATGTTACATCCCAAACTTTTATGGCTTGTTACATAAGTAATTACGATCGTAATCATATCGTGTTTGGTGTCATTTTAATCAGAAAAACGAGACAAATACGATGGTAAAAGTTCCATTGACGAAAAACCAAAAATAAATAATTTTAATTTTTAAATTTAAAAGACAGAACACGCACGAGTCTTTCATGTTTGCCGAACGCGTCAGCTTTCTGCTTCTCTTTCTTTTCCATTTGCCGTCCTCTTTTATGTTAGAAACTTTAATCACTCGTTAAACACACAATTGTTAACGTAATTATATCATGTTTGGTGTCATTTTAATCAGGAAATCTAGACAAAAAGAACAGTAAAAGTTTCATGAAAAAATAGTAAGAAATAAGAAAGTCCATTTGACTTTTCTGAGTTAAGCCTCTTTGTAAAAAATTTACTGCGCATGTCTATCTCTTACGGTTTAGGACTGTGCAGGGGGTCAAGGTTAACCGATTAATTCCCCGTGCATAGCACGGGGCGTTCTACAAGATGGTCCACTAGTCCTCGTGGTAATAATAAAATTATTATTCGATTTGGGCAGTGTAATTTATTCCATACTTCGTTATTATTTTAATACAAAATATTTACAATTACTTGAAAGTCGAGGACTAATCAAGGCTGATGGCAGTGTTTGTACCTGATACTTTTAACAATCTGTCGGAACTCTTTGACAGGCGTAATCTTTCTTCCGGTTTTAAAATTTCGGCAATAATTTTTTCATCACTTTGACGTTCTTGTTTACACGAGAACTCTTGTGTTTTTTTATTGTATTGTTTTGTCACGCAAGATTCACTTGCTGCCTCCTCAGCAACTGCATCCAGTTGTGTTACTTGAATCTCAGAAAACGTAAGTCTTCCATTGATTTTAATTTCCGAAGGCACATGGGAATTGGATTCAAGTGCCGCAGAAACGGGTGATTGCAATGATTTATCGTCATTGTCATCGTGTACTTTTAGAACATTAGCTGCTTCTACATAAAGCTGTGTTATGATATTAATATTAAAAATTTATAGCGATTATATTTTATAATTCATGCAGTATTATAATTTGTTGTTGTGAAAACTTACGGCATCAAACGTAGAATCTAGAAATAGTTCTTGTAAAAATCGCCGTGCTGGCATTCTATATGTACCACTACCTAAACGAGCAGCTACATCTGAAAATAAACAAGTATCCTACGACAAAAGATGTAACCACAAATTCAGAATATTTTAGAATACATTATTTTCGTCACTTAATGCTGAATTTCAGAAAGTACCTGAAACTTCTCTGAATGCAATTGTCTTAATCTAAGCAAAGTTTGTCGACTATGTCGGTACCATATAGGGTTTGCTAACCGTTGTGCATGCCTAAGTATTTTCCTAAATACATAAAACAAGTATCGTTAAAATCAATATGCGCTCGGCATGTCTGGGAGCAATCTGGTTTCTCCCTTTTTGATGCACCACTTTAATCAAAGAATTAGAATACCTCTGCAGTTTTGCGTCTTGTTCTGAAAGCGAATCTTTGCTGCTTTTACCAGGTTGACATATTAAACAAATGCGATAATGCTCTGAGTCTACGTCGGATTCTGAACAGGATTCTTCATCTACTTCCGTCGTTTCTATATCAGACTTTGGCGCATCGTCTGTTATGGTTGGAACCGACGACTGTGGTAATTCCGGAAAAATAGTAATAAGTCTCTTTGGAAGGGCTATACCCATGTAAAATAAATTATCATTATTATCTTCAGGGGGTGGAGGTGTTGAAGTGAGTAAATGTTGTTCCCCGATCCAACTACGAGATGAATCAAATTCTGATAAACTTTGCAATGAAAGTCGACCATCTAAACTATACATCTGAAATAAAAATTCAACAACTTAGTAAAATAATTAATAAAATAAAAACCGCAGTTTAAAATATTTACCTCTAAGCTGCTATGGGAATAACTAGGTCTTCGATGGCGCTGTAAAATACGAATTCTTGCATATCCCTCAGCATCTTGTTGGCTTAATCTTTGAATACTTGATACAGGGCTTGGCGTTTCTCCTCTTTCTCTGTTGAAGTATAACGAGTTAACATTATAACATATAATGAACTAGTTTAAAATTACTTTTAAGTAATTCTTACAGTAGAGCATAACGCCTAGCTTCGAGATCTGTAGCTGCACTTTCAGATCGGTTTCTGGTTCTTCGAGCTACCGGTTCAGGTAATTCTGGTTTGCCATCGCTGAGACTCCGATGATGTCGTTGTATAGGAACAGGACTGGGGGCTGGACACCTACTTGTAGGAGGAACGACTGGCCAATGATCTCCGCGTCTATGTCTAACGCATGGCCAGTCAAAAATTAATAATGCATCTGCACCTGCACGGGTGGTACCAATAAGACTTAGGGCATACATAGCCGTTGCTCGCACCACGTAATACGGACATGTTTCTGCTATGGAAGTTATTAATTCTAAAATTCCTAAATGGTTCAATTGTTCAACGCCTGTTGCCGAAGATCCCACATGACCCAGCACCCATAATGCAGACTTTACTTTTAAAATCCTTTTATTTAAACTTGTAGCTTGATCATCTCGAGATTCAGTCTCTAATCTCCAACTCCTTTCTGGAGTAGTACGTCTGGAATCATCCAAACTTGTTTTTCGGCGAATATCAACTAAAGAATCAACTTTTTGCGTACTATATGTGTCCATGCCCTCTATAGTTTCAGCATCCATTATTGTCTCCAATTTATTCGATTCTACCGTTTCGTCGGTGCCGGATTCTTCTGACATGGCGTAAACGTCATCGATGACAGAGCGATTTGTTTTGGTACACCTTGAATTTGACTCCGAATCTCTACCACCGAACTCCATTTTAAACCGTTGAATGACTCTTGCAAAGCGTTGTATCACGTTTCGACGCAACAACAATTGCATGCCTAAGTCGTGTTGCGCCAATTGACCTAACAAATGTGGTAAAATAAACACATTGTGAGGCGTTATAGGAACGTTAGTTGTTCTTCTGTGGTAGCTTCCAGTTTCATCTCTTTGACGACGAGTTAAAGAGTCATGTATCTCTCCTTCTATTAAACCAACATATCTCTCGGCAAAACCTCCTGGACAGATCCATTTCTCCAATTCTTCAGCGGGAGACGAAATTGTTGTAAAACCCTGATGAATAGAGTAAAGTCTAATTTTTAACAAATATCCTTTATCACCTAACTCTTCCAACCACTTATCCCAATCTCGAGTTTGACTTCCTTGTTGCAACATAGCCTCTAAATATTCTGGTTCTTCGCAAGCTTCGTGTAACGCTTCCAAAGCAGTCAGTGCTACAGTTTTATTGGAATCTGATAACCGATCCAACAGTAATGCTATTGCCCAGCGATAAGCATCAACCATTCTGGCTCTGAGTATTAATCTAAGGAACTGTGTAGCATATAGACGTGTACTGTCTAATGTCGCTTCCGTAATAATTTTAGTTAATACTTTTCTATTAGGTCCATCCCTAGTATAATCTAAACTTGAAACTATGAGTTTAACGTAACAGTCATGATTAGTAGCTAAAGCCAAGTCTTGCAACTTTTCTAATAAATTAAATCCTTTTAGAATCACAGTCCCTTTGGCTGAATGGCTCAATTGTCCAAGAAACAGAAAATACTTCTGACAACAAGTAGTGGACATGTGACGAGGAGAGAACAAACACTCGTGAGCGGATTGAGCTGTTCGTATGCTAGATATTTGTTCAGCGACGTCTCCAATTAATTCATTTAATAATTTTGTACCCTCAGGTTCGTGAAGTTCTAGCAAACAATTTAATAAATCACAACCAGCTAATGTTGCTTCTCTTGCTAAATTAGCGTTTGTTGCTAATTCCACTCTGCTATATGCGTTTGAACATGGCTTAAAATAACGTACAAGCCTTTTCATAAACAATCTGTGATCAGAATCGTGAAGTATTCGCATGGTATCTTCGCGCGAGCGTAAAATAGATCGCACTACCGGCCAATTCCAAGCAAGAGCATCTTTAGAACTGAGTACTTGAGCGTCCTTGAGAAATGGTGTGGTTGGTGATTCTCTGCGTAACCAGTGTCTGTTAGATGTTCGTTGACGTCTTGGTAACGTTGGCCTTAACCAAGTACCTGCTTGTAAAAGCTTGTCAAGAAATAAACTTGCAGGTGCTGGTCTTCGACGCATCATTGTATGCATCCGTTCCAAAATTGTAACAGCTGCTAAAGCTTGATGTTTTCCGGCACTTGCATGTTCCAATAAATTTGGTAGAGGAGGAGTAAGATCACATACCTCGGAAGGTAGAAGAGAATGTGCAAGATGCAGTAATGCACCTAGAAGGACAGCTGCACGTAAAGAAATAAACGTGTCGGTAGAAACAATAGTTTCTGCCAAAGCACGATGTAAACCACATTCTAGTAAAGCGTAAACCAATAATGCTAAATGTATTTCTGTAATATTTGGACAGCGTGATGATAACGATGGTAGAATATATTTTCCTTCGGCTGCGACGAAGCCTTCTGACAATTTCCATGAATCACGTGCTCTACTAGGATCTACTGCTGCAAGAGCAACATCAGGTTCATCCGTCCAAGTAGGTAAAGGTAAGTTCAACAATTCATAAAGTAATTCTAAGACAGCACCTCTTACTTCAAGTTGTTCAACATATAGTATGTCTGCTATAGCTTTCAAGCCTGAATTATCGTCAGGTCGACAAAAATGTAAAACTCCCGAATAAGACCTCAGTATACTTAACAATGCTAATTTACTTGCTGCAAATCTTTCTCGTTCTTCTTTTGTTCTATCTATACTTGATGAATGAAGCTCGCAATAAGGAGCCGCGAAACATAAAAGAGAAACGCTAGTCCTAGTATCAGGAGTGTTTAATAATTTTAATAAAACTCCCACAATAGATTCAATTACTGTAGGGCTTTGTCCAGTCATGGCAGCTCTTGCAAGAGCACCAACACCTCCACAACTAATTAACAAATTTGAATTTAAAATACCTAACTCACAAAGAGTTGCTAAGAATGCTCGAAATGCTCCATCTTTCTCTTCAACTCCACCATTTGTTAAACTGACTAATGATCTTGCTAAAATAGGACTAAAATGTTTTGGTGCCAATACTAAAATTCTTCTAACAAGTCTAAGAGCTTGCATCCTTTCCATTTCATTTCGTAAATTAACATCCATACTACGAGCCACAAAGTATGGATATTGTAATTTATTAATTGCAATAACATCCTGTTCCTTTTTGAGCATATATCTTACAGCTCGTAGAGCAGCAGCACGAACTTGTGTTGCTTCATGGACAAGACCAACTCGCAAGCTATAAAATAATTGCTTAGTAATATATAATATTAACTGAATATTATATAATCTTACCAGCAAAATATGTCATTGATACTGTATCCATATTCTGGAGAATCATTTTCACTAATTAACTTAACAATGGCATTAAGGTATGCCAATTTTTTAATGCTTGGAACATTGTGACGTTGACAGAGATTGGTCAATACTTCCTTGACATTTTCTTTCAATCCTATAAATAAAACTTACATTTAATGAGGTCTCAAAATACATATTTTGATAATGCTTTCAATTCAGAACACAATAACAGATATTTTTATACCTTCGATAGTGATATGTAGTCAAAACATTGCTATCTGGTATATTAAACACCTTATAAACATTGACATTAAAAAACACTTCCAAACTTTTTATCAAAGAAAATTAGTTGACTTTTTTCAACTTCTTGTTTCATATGTTATTTATCATTGCAATGCAACATATACTTTAAAAGTAAATACGCATATACAATCATAAACTGATACAAATGAGTCACGTTATCAAAGTGCTATTGGATACAAAAATTGCAGATTACAGGTTAAGTTACTAACCTCTTGACAGATCAAGTTGCACGCAACTGTCTTCACTCTCTTGACGGCCTATAAAAAGAACATATGAATAGAAAATGATAGAGTTTCAAAATAAGCGAATTGACAGCTAATGTTTAACGTACTTCGGTGAGACCTGCTCGTCCGAAGACTTCTACCCCAAATCATCCAACTAGAAATTGCCATTTCTTTACCGGGTGCTACCCACGATGACAATCAACACTTTTCGTCCGATTGTTAAGATGAGTCTTTTGCGTGATATATGTCATTCTTACTGTTAACCCAAAGCCTGAAGCAGTATAAATGCACTACTGATAAATCAAGTGTAACACGAGTCAAGTGTTACATGCGAACGTTGCACTTAATGTACACTCGGGTGCAACGTAGGCTTCCTTTGGCTAAAAACAAACCTAAGGGGAAGAGAATCCCACCATTTGTCCTCTGATTTTGAGAGATCAAATGCGCACACTTGAAAATTACCAAATTAGCAACTTTGTAAGTTTGACACAAATTTGACAATTCTCAAAATTTAATATAACTTTTTACATTTAAAAATTCAAAACTTTATAAATTTGAACATTCTGAAAATTTTTAATTTCAACATTCGAAAATTTATACAATATAAAGTTCATAGATTTGAAAATATGATTTCGTAATTTAAAAAATTTGTAGTTTGTAAATTAAATAAATTTTCTTTTTTCATTTAGCACATATTTATAGATATTGTGGCGGGACCCTTCCCCACATCGCCATTTTCCCTAGGAAAGCTACATTTTAAAGAATTTGCAACAGTTACGGTAACATGCATTTTTGCTACAAATTTTCCATAAATTCTTTTTTTAAATACTTTACGTCGGTATAAATGTTATGTTATTTCTGCATTATTAAAATAATTAGCTAGAAAGTTAGGAAAATCTTAGCGAAATTTTAGTCGAACAATGAATTTTCATTCATTTTATGTACGTTAACTCTAATTGATTTTGTATTTTTCGTAACCAAGAGTAACGCGTTTGCATTTTTATGGCACTCAGGATATCAAACGTGCATATTCGGTGACCTTTTAGTTTATATATCTCTTCATATCATTACTTCTTTTCTCAATGCATACATTTTTGTTTACCTTATGGATGACTAATGAAATACAAAGTAAATCATGTAGTGAGCTGCGCAAATATCAGCTTTTTAAGCTGCGCACAATACTATCACAGTATATACTGTACTACCAATGATGAGATATTGGACGGTGGACGGGTTTTTGCCCACATACGCGAGAAATGCAGAAGCGTACGCAGCGTATGTATTTAGTGGCACCGCTAGATGGCTTTATTATATATTTTGCTTACAGTTATTATAGTACCTTTCCTTTCCATCTGCTCCTCAAATATGAAAATATGTATATAATGTAATCTTATGCAACCTATACATTCATATTTCTCAACCAAATTATAAAAATTTTTGAAAAATAATGAGGGGTGATTGAGGTACCCTAGTTTATTGAAACTTGTATTTTACTGAGACTAAAATTGCCGCGCATGCGCGAAAAAACCCGGCCCATATCTCATCACTGGTTGTAAGCCAGGGTTCCTTTTCCCCCTCTCTTATGCGTTGGTGTTGTATTGCCCAGGAAGTGGCGGTAATATTTTTTTCCTGTAACTTTAAATGTAGATGGAGACACTGTAGCGCTGAATTAATTTTCAACATTCAAGTATTGTGTATTCAAATTGAAGAGAGATTTAATAAAATTTTGAAATGGCTCATATGGTGCATAATTTAATTCAACCTAACGTAGGTTCAGTTACTGATAATTTAGTCCCTGATTGGCTTCATTCTGAAAAAAGCACAGGAGTAAGTTTTATTTTATACTTGAGGTTAAAATGTTTTAAGGTTAGAATGACAATGCAAACTTAAATATCTTTAACACAAATTTTATTAATGTTTCATTAATAGACATCAATTATGGCTTGTGAATTTGATGGAGGTGTTGTAATTGGAGCAGATTCTAGAGCAACAACAGGGTATGATATATTTATAAATATTCGAATTTGAAATGTGGACTTTATATTAGTTATGGCCCAAAATGTTATTTAGACAAATAAGGTCGCTGTATAAGCTTTTTAATGAAAGAGTTTGCTATTTAAGCAGTCCACCTCTCAAGTTTCAAACAATAAACATGGTATTATAATAACCTAATAACAGCTATATGATTGATCATGTTTTAGAGCTTACATTTCCAGTCGCTTTGCTGATAAATTAACCAAAATTACAGATTATATTTATTGCTGTCGTTCTGGTTCTGCAGCAGATACTCAAGCTATTTCTGATATAGTTGCATATGATTTAAATCTGTATAAGTAAGTATTTGATACATAACAGATTCTAATTCTAAAGATACATGATCAATAAATACAAAGAAATGAGAACATTATTTTATTTTATTCTTGTAGAATGGAGGTGGGCATGGAACCGTTAGTAGAAACAGCAGCAAATGTATTTCGTGAACTGTGTTATAACTACAGAGATTCCTTGATGGCAGGTATCTTAGTGGCAGGCTGGGATAATCGTAAAGGAGGTCAAGTTTATAGCATTCCTCTTGGTGGAATGTGTGTAAGACAACCAATTTCCATTGGAGGATCTGGTTCAACATATGTATATGGTTATATGGATTCACAATACAAGCCAAATATGTCAAGGGAAGAATGTGAAAAATTAGTTGAAAATAGTAAGTATTTGTATGATTTTAATTTGTTCTATAATACAGTGGTATAATAGATCTGGAAGAAAAAGAATAAATGAAGTGTAGATATAGTATATATTGAAATAATTAGTTTTGAATACAATACTTTCTTACTTTTTCAGCTTTGGCATTGGCAATGGCTCGTGATGGTAGTAGTGGAGGTGTTATTCGAATGGGTGTTATTACAGAAAAGGGTATCGAAAGAAAAGTTATATTGGGAAATAATTTGCCACGATTTTACGAAGGATAAGCGTTATAAGGACTAGATTTAAACAAGATACTTATACAAGTTTGTCTACTTTTGAAAACCTTGTATCAATCGCAATTTGTTTATTAATTAAATTAAAATGAAAGATAAATGTTGGATTATCCTTTTTACAATTATAATTGGGTTGTAATATCACTTCGCAGCACACAAATCTTTCATGATGCTTTTATCTTGTGTATTATTTCTCTAATATCTTTCATTTGCAGTTAAAATACCGATGTTTTAGGTAAAACCTATAGAATGTCAAGTTCTTTTTTCAACTACGAACTTATGTTACAACCTAACATCTGTGTAATTATGATTTTTATTTGAGGTAGGCTGCGATCTTTAGTTTTACTAATACGTAACACTGATACTGATACAGATACTTGACATGTCAAATATAATTAAATGGATTTTAGAGTCAGATTCTGGACGAAATGGAAATTTGAAAATTTGATTATCTTATGCTATTTGGAAAGAATCAGTCTATATGTTGGATTACTAGATTCACTCTGTTGTCTGCCTAGTTTTAACAATGCAACCTAATAATAAAAAGTACTATATTTTAAAAAAGAAATTGTTAATAAGTATGGAAGTAACAGTTTTGATGTCGAATAACATATATTAATAAATAATCGACACTTGAAAATCATCCAGGAACTTGGTCAAAATGCGATCGTCGATGTGATCAAACACATCTATACAACTACTATCATATTTAGGTCGTATTATCCACTTACGATTCACTCCGTCATATACCCGGTCGTTTTAACTTATACTTAACGTCTATTGTCGGTTTAATGAGAAAATTGTCACAATGGCACAATTGTGATGTGTGCAATCGTATCGAGCCTCTCCGAGCTTTTGACTCTTTCCAGATGAACTATAACAGTAACTGGGGCCGGTCTTCCGTGATATCATTACGACCTTCTACTTTGAGTATTGTATTTTTTAAATAACTTCTCACCTACAGTGTGAATAAAAACTACTTTATTTTTTGAAGTGTATCGCGTGTGTAAAAACTACCTAAGTTCGTTGGTCACAAATGCATGTACCTACTGGGAAACAACAAAATTTTCTTCGCACAACATCGTGTTCGATAAACTAATTTTATTGTAACATACAAACAAAATTATCAAATACAAGAATTACGGTAAGCATTATTTTTTAAATATGTAGTTTCGTTATAGCTCCTCATAATTTTATATTTGTACCATGAGTAGTATTTTCTGTTCTATTAAAAACTTGTAAACATTTTCAATAATTTTATCATTGTATTTCATGGATTTCAATTTGTTTATTAATTATCGGAAGGATTAACTTTGTGGTTCGAAGCGCCGGACGGCGTTAGAAGGATAGCAAAATTCCATTTTGCAACAAAATGACCGCGATTGACACCATGGAGGACGGCCAACCGAATTGGTCACAGGATATGCCAACGGTACAGGAAGTCAGCGGCATGATGCGAAATTTTGGTATATGGGATTACGCGGTGTTTGTGATCATGTTAATTGCCTGTGGTTTCGTCGGTATTTATTTTGGTTTCATCAAAAAATCGTCGGGAGTGGACGAATATCTCGTGGGTGGTAGAAATCTCAAGATGTTCCCTGTCAGCTTGAGCCTCTTAGCCAGTTTTATATCGGGTAGGATTTTATTTATAATTTGGAACGATATCTTTATAATATCTCTATCGAGAATTATGATTAATCGACGCTTCTTTAAATAGAATTTCTAATTTGGTCTTTGATACTTCTTGGTCGGAGGTCATTGAGCTGGTCAAGCATCGAAATTATTTTTTGTTACCACTTTTCTAATTTTTTACGCGAAACTTTTTTAAACTTGGATCATTCTTACTTACTAATTATTGAGTAAATAATTAAGACTTTCTATATTTCTAAATTTTCAAATTTCCTACATTCTCACATTTCCATATTTTTAAATTTCCTTATCTCTAAATCCCCCAATTTCCAAATTTCCTGAATTCCCAAATTTTCAAATTTCCTAAATTCTCACATTTCCATATTCTTAAATTTTCTTATTTCTAAATCCCCCAATTTCCACATTCCTAAATCATCAAATCACATTTCTAAATGTTCGTTTGTCACTTGACCAAAAAGGATCAAAAAATTAATTTATATTTGTAAAAACGTTAAATTAATAAGAAAGGATAAATTAAAGTAAAAGTTGTAAGAGTGTAAATTATGATAACAGGTATTTCATTATTGGGTATACCAACGGAGGTTTACGTGCACGGTACCAGCTACCTGTGTATAGGTTTTGCAGTCATCATCGCCTGTTTTGTAATGTCTGGAATATATTTACCTGTCTTCCACGAGCTCAAGCTTACGAGTACTTACGAGTACCTTGAAAGACGTTTCGATAAAAAAATTCGTACACTTGGATCCGTGTTATTTTCGATCGCCATCGTGAGTTGTTTCACTAAATTCACTTCCATTTGATTCGTGCAAATGTTCTATCAGATTGTTATACTTGTAGATGACGTGGTTACCAATCGTTATTTATGTACCAGCTTTGGCTTTTAATCAAGGTATCGTATATTGAGAAATTTTCATTTTCTTAGTTAAAGTGTCTTTTGTATTTTAGCAATATTTTAGTATTACTTATTTCATAGATATCTAGAGCAGGGATTCGTATCAATTTTTAAGAATTTGTACAAATTTGTAGGTTTTAATTTTGTACTTATTTTGTACTTTTGTAATTAAAACATTTAAATTTGTACTGGTTGTTTAAATAATGTACTGGCATTACAAGATTATTTTTTGGGCGTTGTAAAACAGTAGTTAGTTGAACCATGGGTAAAAGTTATCGACAAATTCTTCCCTAAATCGAGTAAAACTGACGAGCAATTTAATTTGTAGTTACGGGAGTGAACGTGCACGTAGTTACCCCATTCGTGTGCATCGTGTGCATCTTTTACACTTGCGTGGTAAGAAACAATTTAAAAATAAGAAGACAATTACCACGTATCTACACGAAAGCACGAATTAACTTGGCCTTCATTAATCAGGGTGGTTTGCGGGCGGTAGTGTGGACCGACTTCATTCAAATCTTTATAATGATTGGATCTATGCTACTAATCATTATCAAAGGGACATCAGATGTAGGTGGATTGTCGCTGGTAATAAGAAGGAACATGGAGTCCGAAAGGCTCGAACTTCCCACGTGAGCATTATAATCTTATCGTTCATGCAAACGTTCATTGAACAAATCCAAACTATTATTTTATTTAGGTATCGCTTTAGTAAATTGACATTTGGGGAATTAGGGATTTAGGATTTGGGGATTTAGTATTTGGAGATTTGGGGTTTAGGATTTTGGGAATTTTGAATTTAAGGTTTTGGGATTTGAGGATGTAAAGATTTGAGAATTTAGTATTTGGAGTTTTGGGATGTAGGAATTTAAGAATTTAAGAATTTAAGAATTTAAGAATTTAAGAATTTAAGAATTTAAGAATTTAAGAATTTAAGAATTTAAGAATTTAAGAATTTAAGAATTTAAGAATTTAAGAATTTAAGAATTTAAGAATTTAAGAATTTAAGAATTTAAGAATTTAAGAATTTAAGAATTTAAGAATTTAAGAATTTAAGAATTTAAGAATGTAAGAATTTAAGAATGTAAGAATTTAAGAATGTAAGAATTTAAGAATGTAAGAATTTAAGAATGTAAGAATTTAAGAATGTAAGAATTTAAGAATGTAAGAATTTAAGAATGTAAGAATTTAAGAATGTAAGAATTTAAGAATGTAAGAATTTAAGAATGTAAGAATTTAAGAATGTAAGAATTTAAGAATGTAAGAATTTAAGAATGTAAGAATTTAAGAATGTAAGAATTTAAGAATGTAAGAATAAATTTAAGAATTTAAGAATTTAAGAATTTAAGAATTTAAGAATTTAAGAATTTAAGAATTTAAGAATTTAAGAATTTAAGAATTTAAGAATTTAAGAATTTAAGAATTTAAGAATTTAAGAATTTAAGAATTTAAGAATTTAAGAATTTAAGAATTTAAGAATTTAAGAATTTAAGAATTTAAGAATTTAAGAATTTA